AGCAATTAGGGCCTGTCTTGCTGCTGCTAACTCCAATGCTAGTGCCTTGTCGGGGAGGTGGTGTTTTCAATCACAATTAGTGAGCTGGTCAAAAAACAAAGTTCGTTTAAGGATAAGAGCTCAATTGTGCGCAAGGGGGAGAGACCAGACTTCGGGTGCTGGCCTGTGGCTTACAGGGACACATACTTTAGGAGCACGGCTAACCCTATAGTGTGGTGGTGTTTACCCTCGCAAGCAGCTGTCCCCATACAAAGTTGGCATAGATCAAGAAGCAAGAATGTTCACTTTTCTTCTCGAGCAAACCGTATGTCCTTCGGCTTTCGTCCAGGCTATTAATTGGTGTCTTTGCTTGCTGCTCCTGGAACAAGGAGACAGGCCTGGAAATGGGGGCCATTTCTCATGGCTCTGTTATTTTAGCTGCTGCTCACGGCTTGCTGCTATTCACTCAAAAACGCAAGCCAGGAGACGTGAACACACCAAGCAGGTGACAGGGAAGTTGTCCTCTGATTCAGCTAAACGACACAGGGTGGGAGGTTCAGAGGCACGGACACAGTTGCTGACGAGTCAGGGTGTTTTAGTTCCTTCCTATGAAAAAAAATCTGTTTCCAAAGAAGCATGATTTCTGCCTCATCCAGTCTGGGAAACTGAACACAAAACGTGACTATGGAGAGAAATCAAAAGGACTCGAGAGGTATTCTCTCAGCTGAGTGTTATTCTGGGCTCCAGCGGGAGGACCTGGCCTCATTGGTGAATGGTAGCTCCCTGGAGAGGCAGCTGAGAATCCAGAGAACGTGGGCAGGACCTAGGATGATATTTGCTGCAGTAGACTGCGGGAGTCAGTGACTAAAGGTCTCATCGAATGGTTTAAATCCAATATGGGACTGGCAAACTCTGCCTGTTTCCTGGACAGATGCAGCCTTCACGGAGCCTGGGCCCAATGTGTGGTAGAAAAATTGGTAACAAAGACCAATCAGCATCTCATAGTCAGAGTTAACCCAGGGTGCTGCTTTGCCTTTAAGTTCAATCAGTGAGTAGTTCAGAAAAGAAAACTTTGAAGACCTCCAAAATTCATTTAAAACAAGGCCAGAAATAGTTAATCCAAAACTCGGTTCCTAACCCCCACATGCTTTTTCTCAGAACTACCAGAATATCCCACAAGGCCTTTTGCTCTGTAGGAAAGCCTGTTTTCAGAGTATTTGGAAATGGTCTATTCTGAGCAAGGGGACCCAGATGCTAGAACTAAAACAATTGGGGAGAGAAAAAGAAGAAAAATATCGGGTTAAGTAAACGGTTGTTCTTCTTTCCAGAGTTGCTGTTCTCAGCTGGGGTGACTTTGCTCCCAAGGGGCATTTGACAGTGCTTGATGGTATTCTGGGCTGCCACAGCTGGGAGGGAGGTGTTACTGGCATCTAGAAAGTAGGGCCTGGGGCGCCTGTTAAACATCCTCCTATTTGCTGGGCAGTCCCCACAACAGAGAAATTGGCCCAAATGTCAACTGTTTTTACAGTTCAAAAAATCTAGATTTGAAGTTATAAACTTTCACCTAATTCCTTTCCCATCAAGCGGATGAGAATCCAAGACGTAATATTAAAAAAAAAATACAACTATGCAAAAAATTATTAATTTAATGATTCTGGCTCCTCATGCATATGTGCTGTTGATTGCTGGAGACCTGTAGGATTACAGATGCCAGAGTTCCTCATGGGCAACATTGCTGCTCCAGCCCGTTTGCTAATACGGCCTCAGTGTATTTCCTGATAACTTTGGGGTTTAACCAAAAGCAGAATTTTGGTGACCAGTAACAAAGTAAGATGAACTGGCCCATACCCAAGTTGTTAGGAAGCCAGACTCATAAAAATCGCTAAATGAATGGAGAACTAGGTCGTTCATTTTAGCAATTCCGTATCAGATAAATCCACACCACAGAAAATTCCCAGAAGTAAAATTCACAAATGTGAGATTACCATGCCTTTCTCCTAACAAAGAGCAATATGATGGAGCCTGATTTTATTTGTTTAATACCTTCGGGGATTGACACGCAATCAGTATCCAAAGAGATAACTCAGAGTGCTAGCTAAATTCTAGTGCTTGTTCTAAGCAACTTTATAGTCTCCAAACTGCCTTGTACAAGGAAGAGCTGGGGCTGCTCAAAGAAGGCCATGCCCCTGTGGGCAGTGTGCTCACATCGTAGACAATAATAATGATCAGCGAACGCTGGTGCTGGTAAAACTCACGAAAGGGCAGTTGCCTGGATCAAAGTAGCTCAGATGTGAAATGCTGTTATCCAGACAATGAGGACCAACTTCTCTGGTTCATTGCTAAGCCCCTGAGTTGGGCCATCCAGAGAGGAGAAGCCAGGGCAGAGGTCACGTTAAGATGAAGACAGCCACCAGAGAACTGTCTTAGACACTGCAATGCCGTGTCATCTCTTCCAAGGTCTGAATCACAGGCACCTAAGGTAAGTGGTCATTTTAGAATGAAAGGCCTCCATCAAATTTTAAATGATTCAGAAATGCCTGGATTTGTTACCAAGAGAAAGCCATGTACTTCAAATCAGAAATATTGAATGAAATAATTATTATAACCTCTGTACAGAACTATGTGCTGAAGAAAAGAGACACACTGAGGCCTAAAATACACCCTCAAAGTTCTTTCTGACCAAGAAAGATTTCTATATTGTTTGTCACAGCTCAGTTCTAATCCAATCAGGAAACATCTGCTACAGCAAGTGATCTTACTATTTCCCCAGAAGATTACTGAAAAATACTACCAAAGGAACACATAACAGATTGTCACGATCGTTTTTCTCACCTGGAGCCCCTGGTGTAATAAGTTCCATGTTGCTGACTTGAGGACACAGAGGTTTAGCATATAGATTCCACTGGGCTGATAAGAGAGTAGAAACCTTGATTCTAATCCAGTTTTGCTCATCCACAAAGATTCACCCACAACCTGTTCCCAAATTATAGCTTTGCAGGGCAAAAACCAACAGAAAAGCCCCGGGGCAGTCCTGTGTGTATTTTTTTAATCAATGAATCACTGCTTCCCTTGTGTCCTGCTAAGAGTCCAAAGTTTCTGTCCCTCTGTGGTGGCAACTCCCAGGCACAGGACAGGAATGCCGCTGTCCACGGGCCCTGTGTACGCTGCAGATGTTCACTGCCAGCCCATTCTGGCAGCAGCTCAGCCCAGTTAGCAAATAATTCCAGGTGCCTCACTCTAATTTTAGGAAGGTCAAGTTTACAAAGGTGAAACAGCAAGCAGGACTCTGTGGGTCTTAATCGGCTTGTAAAAGCAAGCCGTAACTAAGCACAATATTCTTATGGAACTTAATGAGGATTGCTAGTCTTAAACTATCAAAACATAACTTACGGCCCTCACCCTTTGTCACAAGACTAGTTGAGCTCCTCTTGAAAGATGGGATAAAATGATGAGTGAAGGAAGAGCCATTAGACTACAAGGGGGAAACAAAAGCTCCAGAAAAACTCTCTACCAAAGGTCAAGGGTTAATTTGTGATCCCTTCATGAAACAGGGGCCCAAAACCAATAATATACTTTCAGCCAACTCCAACTTCATTTAGCTGTGAAATGAGAATAATTAAAATGGTGCTCCCTGTAGAAAAGAGTTCACTCAATAAGTTCCCCAACTTTCAAGGAGCTTTTGTTTTATTAGATGCTGTTAGCTTCATGTTAGTCACAGGGAAAAAAAAATGCCCACATCCACACGCACGACTAAATGTAGTCAGTTTGCTCAGCTGTTGCTGACGTCACTGCTGCCCACTAGGAGTGAGTTACTGTAATAACCCTGTTTTATTAATCATAGGCTGGAGGAAGCACAAAGTGGGTGACATCATTAGTCAAAGGACTGGCTAACTCATGCTCCAATTTACTCAGCTTTATTATAACATTTCTCAAGTGTCATATGAAAGTGATTACCATTTCACACTTTCCCCCTCTGAGCAATCATCCCTAACCTTCAATTCAAACTCCCAGAGAAAAGCTTAGTTTTTCGGATGGAGGCATGCAAGGGCCAAATCTCACTGAGGATCCCTGTTGCAGGACAGAAATGTCCTCTTTGGAATGAATGGCTTCATCCTGGACTTAAGATGGAAGCAGTTTCTAGAACATTAGCTTCCCAAATGGCTCCAAGTTCACCTTGGTCCAGGTGGTGGCATGGTCTGAGAAGAAAAGTATGAGTAGGACCTTAATGACCTGGATGGAATGTGCCATACATGGCCTCGTGGTCACCAGCGGTACAGGCTATGCATACTTGGGCTCTAACATGTCAAAACTCCATGTGCAGACTTGGTGTAAATTGTGGTTAATAGGAGTGTCCCACTCGGTAGAACACTGGAAAGATGCAAAGGTTCTGTGCAAGCCACCAGGGTGGACTTCAATGGGGGAAGCTCAACTCCACATCCACACTCAGTTCTGATACTCACTTGAGAGCTACCAATCAGACCAGCTCTCCATGGTGCAGTTTTCCACCTACTGCTATCTATTCCTTGAAGAACATCTGAAAACTAGAAAAGGCACATGACTAAAACCAAAAGAAGACACTAGGTCAAAGACTCAGGAGCTCTGCGTTGTGTTGCTGTCATTGCTTTTTGAATAGACAAATCTCTCAGGCCATTCTCTGTTCACAAAAGGAGTGTCTCCATGTTATTGTATGCATTAGGAGCAACAAATGTTTTTACCACAGCCGGAGCTGTACTTCATCCTCTTAAACTAGCATCTCGGAGCCCTTGCAAAGCCATTTTATAGATGTCTTCACTCATCCCTTATTTACAGTCCCATCCTGAGGGTATTTTAGAGAGTCAAAATAAAGCTTACTTAGGCATGAGGGAGAGACACAATGACAGACCAAAAGAGAAGGCTAGGGCTTTATAATATTTAGATAATGATGAAACTGACTTTGTTATTGTAGCATGCAATAATTATATAAGATAACTTATTTCTTAGGTTCACCTTTGCTCAGTATTGAAATTTACTTCCTCTACTAGGTGGCAGTTTTGGCTTCCAGAATAATCAGCTGATGCAGGAAGTAAGTATCAAATCATGTTATGTGGTAAATAAAAAAATAATACATGGCAACTTTGGGATCTCCTGACTGGAATCTTCCTTTAAAGAGCAAAGAATGCCAGGATATCTGCTGCCCCCTACCCGGTATCATGGAGAATAGCACATACTTTTAGGAAGCACGCGAGGATTCAGGTGCAATTCACGTAGTTGGTGGCCGAGCCAACCCCATAGGTTGTCGCTGTAAAAATGACCACTTTCGTGAACTTTTTTTTGTGTGTGTATCTGTAAGGCGAAGCCACCAGGTACATTCGTGTTTCACCTCAGTCTTTCCCTGATGAAGGGGTCCTCCCAAATTCCAGAGGCTGCCTACGTGGAACCAGGGCAAAGGGTTCAGCAAGCACAAATGATTAACAAAGAGTGTTTGTCAATACTGTGACTGGAGGAAGCTCTCCCAGGGCCACTTCACATGGCACGTCCTTCGTTTATGAAAATTTCTGACAAACCCAGAAAATGAACGTGACCATCATCAGGGAAAGTGAATCCTACTGATTTGTGGAACGTTCCAGACATCTGGGTGATTTAGCCTTAGGCCAATGGGAAGAAGCGAGGCGCCCTCTTCTGGTACATCTGTATAGAAGAGATCCCCACAAGCAACCAGGCCACCTTCTCCCTGGTCTGTCCACTCCCAATCTTCAAACCACTGCTTTTTAAATGACATCCACCTTGTGCTATTTTAAAAATAACACACTTTCTCTGTATGAAATATGAGATCTACAGGTAGGCATAAAATATAAATCACGTGTGCTCATTCTTCTGGGGAATAGTAATCAAAATTTCAGCTTATGTATAAACCAGATTTGCCATCAAACCATAATTTTACAGATTTGTATTTTCACAGATCGGTACATGTTGACTATTTGCAGTGGCCAGTTTTCTTCTTGAAAACATTGACTCCTGGAGACTACACTATAAAGTAGATTCTTTATTTTTAAATCAGTCTGTTTATTGTACATTGATGATGTACAGTAATTCTATAACTTTGCAATGATACGTAGGGTTGTAGACATCATTTTATGTTTTTGAGTCCACTTTTACTTATTTTTTAAAGATAAACTTCTTTATTTTTTAAAGATAAAATGTTTAGTTGTTGGATCTAAGCTTATGAACACATATAACATCATCACATATATTACCAGATTGCCCTCTTCACACATTTTACCCATTTACATTCTAGTTCAGAGTGTAAGGGCATGATTCCTTCCCTATATTTTAGCCTGAATATCATCATAATTCTCTTCTAGTCCTTTCAGACCAAATAAGATATACACTTTGTTGCAATTTGTTTTTTAAATATATTAGTTAAGATTAAACTTTTTATTTTCCACTTGAACAACTTCCTTTGGAGTTACTGTGTAGGTCTCATGCTTTTATATTTCAAACACTGCATTGAAATGTATGTAAATATATTTTTAGTCACAGTGAGAAGTCTTTATATTAAGGACCCTGACCCATTGCTTGTTATGATATTATGGTATTTTCCTCTATTTGTTCTTTGCCTTTCAATTTTGTTTACAGCGTTTCAGATAAAAAAGAATTCAGGTGTTATATAAACTAATCTATGAATCTTCATGCTGAATTTTCTCCATAAGGACATCAAATTGATATCCATTTATAGTTTCTTCTAAGTATTCTTTGACATTGCAGTCTTTATTACAAAATACCTGAAATATGGTTTGGTATACAGAGTAAAGATCCGCTATACATTTTGTCCCAAAGACTGAATCAGCACCTTTATAGATTGCACTTTGAGAATGTCGTTGCTATCACCTATTGAATGTACACAAATACAAGCGGTAGATTTCATTCCACTTATCTATCCTTCTCCATATGTTTTTCTAGTTTTAGTGCTGCTCCTCTTAAAAGAAAATGGCTGTTTATTGTATATATGGTCGTTTTAATGTACTTGATTCAAATCCTCACCCAACAGTTCTTTAAAATAACTTTCCCTAGTGCTAAGACATTATAATAACTGTAGGTAATTCTAGGTTAGCTACTCAAAGTTTGGGATTTAATGACAGTATATAATTAGACAGTATTTATGTTTAATTGAAATAAAAGAAGAGAGAGTGAGGAGCGGGGAAAGGAGGGAGGGAGGGCGAAGGAGGGAGGGAAGAAGGACCCTTAAAATTTAACCATCCAAAGAAAACCAGAAATGGAGAGATCTTTCCTCATCTCTAGGACATTCTCTTCTACTGCATTCTTGACCAGTGTTTGTGGGTTTTTTCCCCTGAAAATTTTGGAAAGTGTAATAAACTGTTGATTTAAATTTCCATCGCCTTTAGTATGCACTTGGCTGTTTAGTTTAGTTCCTTTTTATTGGTTGCAGAAGATATAGAAAACACTTTGGAACTATTGCATTTCTTTTCTCTTAACTCATTTTTAATAGGATAAGACAGTAACTCCAGTATTTGCCCAAAAATAGTACATGCATTTTTATGTACAGTACCTGACTTTTGACTTCTCTGAACACAGATTAAGGTCTCTCTTTGTTTTTTGGTTAGAGGGCCGGATGCTGATGGCCTCTGGGGCCTGGTGGTCAGGGACTCTCATGTGACTTGCAGCCAGGCCTGATTCTCCCAATCTGGGAGCACAACCCATCCTATTAGGAGAATACCTTGTGGCCTCAGTTGGTTCCCTGGCTTTGGAGGTAACTTTGTTTCAAAGATGATGCAGTTGGCAGCCATTTTCTTTTAAGCTGCTAAAGGTATTTCATTCTATATCATCCCCATATTTATGGCTCTTGTTTCTCATTTTCTTTTGTCACAAACAACCTTTCCTCCCTCCTTACCAGTGAGCCTGTGCAACTATAAACAAAACACAGAGACTAAACCAACCTGACCTCGTGCACTGTAGGCTGGATGATGCTTATGCACAGCCTGGCTCCTGCTCTTGTGTCTGGGTTTTTCCACCTACAGCAGGCATGCCAAGGGCCACTGCCCTCTCCCTGGACTCTTCTCTTACAGCAGGCCTGAAACAGCAGGCACTTTTCTTGTAGGGGGCCGTTCCCACTCAGACCATGCTGCCCCAGAGTCCTCGTTGGAGTATTAATCTCTCAGGTCCTCCTTCTGGCCAGGACCTGTGCCAGCCTTAGTTCTGCCTCCCTCTCACAGAGACCATTTTAGGTCTATGGGAAACAAACAAGCTTCTCTCCTACTCTAGAGAGAATATGGTTTCTCCTTAAACTTAACCCTTTCCCTTTCTTTTTCTATCTTACCATAGACCAATTTACATTTTCTTCAGCTTGAGTCAGGCATCATTGTGCAGGGTCCTTCCAACTACAGGAGGCACCATGAAGGTGTATGTTTTGTCCTTCAAATTGCTGAAGGTTAACTCTGTCCTGGTGGGGGGAGATGGGACTCACACATGGGTGGGGTTTTTTCTGAAAACATCTCACAGATTCCGTAGCCTCTCACCATCTTTTACATTTGCAAGGTCTGCAAGGAGATGTAAGGATCTTAGACCCTACTCTCAGATATCAACTTCAGTGGTTCCTCTGCAGTAGTCCACTTCACCCTCACCCCAGTTTCTCTGGTCACCATGGATTATCTTGAGCTCTGAGTTGGAACTTCCATTTTAAAACATCATAGGCTGAACACACTTATTTCCTATTATTGCTCAAGTGAAAAATTAAAATGCTATTTCTTCTAAGGCATCATGATTTTGGGATCTGTTTCTTACAGCAGCTGATGCCTTCCTGGGTGAAAACAGAATGTGAGCAAAACAGAAAGTTAAAGACAGAGTCTTGAGAACCTTCACATTTACAAGGTAAGTGGAGAGGGAGAACCTGGGAAGCATTTTGAGGAGTAGCCTGATGTAGACAAGAGAACCAAGGAGAGAGCTTGTCAAGGAGGTCAAGAAAAGAGTTTTGAGGTGTCAGGGGACCCAGGGTGGTGAAGTGAAATAGAAGCAGAAAAATCCAAAGATGTAACAGTACTCAAATTGGCACCAGTGCTAGCCTGCCTGGGTCCATGTCATCATTAGAGGCAATTTTTTTTCGGGGGGAGAAAAAGGGTTGAAAGGACTAAGGAGATTCAACTGGGACAGATCACTGCTGCAGAAGCTGGGAAGAAGTGGAATAATGATGAGAGGGGCGGGCACTGGGATAAGAAGAAGCACATTTCAATTGTTAGCTATTAGAGAGTTAGGATGTCCCTCTTCTGAGAGAAATGAACTAATAAAGTGAGGGAATGTAAAGACAGAAGAGAAGAGAAAGAGAGGCAAGTGTCCTGCAGCAGTAAGAAATGATAGATTGAGGTGTTTTTTAAAGACTGATGCTCAAGTCATTTCTTACCTCCCCCATCACTGCCTCAGGAGCCAACCATCTTTGATCAACATCAAACATTCCGTGATCGTTCAGTGTTAAGTAAGTAGCACCCGACTCCACTCTGGCACAACTTATTCTCCATTCTATTTCTCACCACCTGAGATATTTACCACTTACCCAGCACCTCACAGAATGAAGATACACTCTATTCTGTTAAAAGCTAAATCTCAGCACCTAAAATTGTGTCCAGTGGATAGCAGCTGCCTGATGAATATTTGCTGGCTGATGAATGAATCCTAAGTAAATGGAAGTATTAGCTTTAAGCAGGAAGAAGACCTAAGGAGCAGATATAGAGAAACATGAATATAACTAGCAGAGAAAAAAATTAAGATAATTTTCATCTATTGTAGTTGATTTTTCAAGGAAAGGGGATACAGCTGCTGAGAGAAAAGACAGTGGTAGTAGTGGTTGTAGAGTGAGAGAACGGGATTACAGTTGACAATTTTGTTTTGGTGGGATATTGCTGGATCTTGAAAGTCTCTCAAGTACCCATGTGTTGAAGATTTAGTCCCCAGCCCATGGTGCAATTGGGAGGAGATGGGGCCTAGTGGAAGGAAGTTAGGTCACTGGGGAAGTGGCCTAAGAGAAGCTAATGGGACACTGGTCCCTCCTGTTCCTCTTTTTGCCTCCTGCCTTCCTTAAGGAAAACAGCTCCTCTGTTACACACTCCCACTGTGATATCCTGTGTCACCAAAGGTCCAAGGGCAGTGAGGCCAAGCAACCATGGACTGTAGTCTCTGAAGCCATGAGCCAAAATGAACTTTTCTCTCTTATAAGTTAATGATGTCATGTGTTTTGTCACAGTGATGAAAAGCTAACTCAAAGATAAAAATAATTCAAGACAGCTCCAGGCAACCTGAAAGAATACTGTACTGAAGTGGAATGTACTATAGTTTTAAAAAGGCTCAAACCACATAGCTATTCAGTCTTGACCAGCAATATTTTTAATCCCAAGGTGTAGAAGAGAGGAAAACCTGTTGTTAAGATAAAGTGCTGCTGCCCCATAGGCCTTTCTGCTGTAATGAAAATGCCATGTAATCTGCACTGTGCAGCAGAGTGGCCACTGGCTGCATGTGAAATGTGGGTGTTGTGACTGACACATGTAGAGTCACACAGAGTCAATTCTGGCATAGCAGTAGACAAATAAGACAGTAACAAATGTAATAAAGAAGAAATGTCAGTGGTAAAACTGATAGGTGCACTCAGGAATCTCAGCTTGGTGAGGGAATAAATAAAACCAGGAAACAACTGATAACTGGTGAAAAATATCTTCATCCAAGAACCAGAAGTATTGGTAAGGTGAGGTATAGGTATGTTTGCAGGACAGGGAGTGATCAGAAGTGGTTGGCAAAGGGTAGAATATTGAAAGTGAAGATTCCAAAAGGCAAACAGTTGGAAATAGTGAAAGAGTGCAGGGTGTGGTCATGGGGATGGATTTCTTATGCGCAGTGGTATAGAAATCCTTAAGTTACAGCATTCAGAGAGCGTTCGGTGAATTAAAAATGTGGGGTCAGGGCTGGGGATTTAGCTCAGAGGCACAGCACCTGCCTGGCAAGCACAAGGTCGTGAGTTCGGTTCCCGGTACCAGAAAAAACAAAACAAAACAAAAAAAATCTGGGGCTGTGTAAGATACCAAAGATACATGATAAGATACACCAAAGATACATCAAAACCTCAGGGCTGGGGCTAGGGATTTAGTTCAGTGACACAGCGCCTACCTGGCAAGCCCAAGTTTGTGAGTTCGATTCCCGGTACCGGAAAAAAAACCAAAACAAAAAAAATCAACCAAACAAAAAAAAAACCCTCAGGGCTGTTTTCTTACAAGAGTAGAAATGCAATCAAGATATTGCTGTTGTTAGTTACCAGTGGTCAGATGCACATCTTTGTAGGCCTAGCACAAAGTGTCTGATACATGTATGAGCACCTTTAATCCACTGACCAATCTTTTCGTGTAGGTCTTTGTGTTATGGCCTTTTACAGATAAAGCCACTGAGGCCTACAAAGATCAAATTTCTTGTCCGAAGATATGTTCTGAAGATAGTATGGAGCTAGGATTTTAATACAGGCAGCCTGACACTAAAGTGCATGTAGTTTAATACTGAGTTCTCCTGCCTTCTTATTGTAGTATTGGGTAGCAATGTGTTCTTGGAAGTTCCTACTCATTCCCACCCACTTCTCCCAGATCTGAGACTCTCAGAAAAATACGTGTGGATGAATGGAGGACCAATATCTGTGTACAACTCAATAATAGAACAGGTCAGATGCATGCAGGGTAAAAACTAAAAGACAGTGGTGGCTCATTTATAGTAGGATATTAGGAAAGGGTGCAGGGAAATGATGGGGTTAGAGTCACAGAGCCAATTGGATGGGATTCCTGGAAAGGGCAGATTCTCAGAATGCATTGATTCAGGACTGTACTAAAGACTGGCAAGCAAACAGTAGTTGACCTTGAACTTTCCCTCTGAAAATATGACATATGTGGTAAGCACTATGTTCACTTTTCATGCCATAAGAAAAGTGTTATATTCACATGTATTAATATATTAGAAGAATACTAAAGATGAAAAAATGTAAAATATAATCGTACCTGGTGAGCATAGTAGCATTCAACTGGTTTTTGCTGCACCTGTCCCAAGGAGGATATTACACATGATAAAATGTTCAGGAGATGTTAAAATAAAGATAAAAATGAGGCCAAATCTTGGAATCCACCCTATATGGGTGGTTAGGATAGGTAATTTATTTTCTTTGCATTGTTGCATTACATTTCTACCATGAGATTTCCATTTCCCACTTGCCAGTAAATGTACCTCCCTCCCTCTGTCTGAAGCCTCCAAATTTTTCCCTGCTCCTAAGGAGTAGTTGTTACAGTGGTGAAAAGTTAGAGATCTTGTCTTAATGGGCTGGAGAGTAAGAGGAATTGATAATCGTCTTTCTTACTTATGTTCACCAAGATATGTTTCTTTTGTTCTATGCAAATCACAGTTAAGTTGCTCCTCATTCTTAGCTGTGATGCCTTCTTATTTCTCACGTTCTAGTCAATGTAGGAGAGAAAAAAATAAAGATAATAAGCAGGACAGCAATGTGAAGAAAAATTGCAAATATTTATTGAGGGCATGAGTGAGTGCAGATGTGATTCTTGAAGGTACAAATTCATGTGCAAGACATAGGACATTCCTTTCGCCTTCAGATCAACACAAATAAGCAGGAAGTCAAAGCTCTGTTATGATTTGCCTTCCACCCAGTTCAAAGTTTTCTGGGTCTTATCCAAAGGAAAGTCCCTCTGTCCAAGCCTTCCACCGTTCCCACTGGCCAGTGCTGAGACGTTAGCGTCTTGGTTGCACAACTCCACAAGGACTGAGACCTTGCTATTCCCCTTGGGTACTGTCTCAGCTTCTGTGACTCTTCACCACTCTCAAATCTCTCCTTCTCTTCCCTTCACCAGGTTTAATTCATTATCCTGTCTCTTGCCTGTACCAAACATCCAGCATTGCCCTCCAGATTTAGGAAGAATCTTCTTTGCAGAAGTACTAGAGACAAGGCCTGCCTTTCAACCATTCATATAGGGCAAAAAGGGTGAAAGAGAAAACAGACACTAACCAGTTTTAAAACAATTATATTCACCAGAACAAACCCCAAGTAAAACAACTTACAAACGAAATTACAAGTACAAAACACAGATAATTAACATATCCGTCATATAGGAAAAGTAATGTACAATACCTAGACATTGTTTAGTGCTCCTTGTTTTAGAGGTGAGAAAAAAGACATATAAACAAATTAGGTTAGACCATTCATCCACACATATTTTTCTGAGAGTCTCAGATCTGGGAGAAGTGGATGGAAATGAACAGGAACTTCCAAGAACACTTATTTCTACCCAATACTACAATAAGAAGGGAGGAGAACTCAGTATTAAACTACATGCACTTTAGTGTCAGACTGCCAAATTTATACAGCTATCTAATGGCAGAACTAGACTACAAACCTAACTCTAAGCAGGTCCAAAATCCGTGCATTCCATGGACTATAATGTACGGGTAAAGCCCACATTTGTAGGACATGTGCTATGTATATTGCTAAATACCCTTCAGACAATCTCTTTTCATCCCCTAACATTCATTTACACAGATATTATTAACCCATTTTACACAAGAGGCAGTTAAAGAACTTAATGAAGTAATTCCTCATTCACTCTTCAACTGCAATATGAGTTTTGCCCCAGAAAGCCGTTAAAGTTGTTCTGATAAATATTACTAATAATCCTCCACATAGAAAATTTCATAGTTCAGTGGCACAGCGCCTGTCTGGCAAGTGCAAGGTCCTGAGTTTGATTCCCAGCATAAAAAAAAAAAAAAAAGACAGAGAATTTCAATGCATCTGTTTTCTTCCCTGGTCAAACTCTCCTCAAGCTTCTCTTGTCCAGTGACTATGCTGACACCTCATCCCAGGAGCCCCACTTACTAAGGTTCCCTCTCGGCCTCTCCACCAGGCTCCGACCCTGTTCCTCTGCTCCCTTGTCTCTAAACTCAGACATTTCTTTTTTTTTTAGTGATTTTTTCCACTCTGCTTTTAACTGACCATGGTGGCAATTCCCAAATTCCTCACTGGCTCCCACCTTTTTCCTGCCCTTCAGACCCTTCCTGATACCCACTTGTTGACGTAGACAACTTCAACATTGCATGTGAACATCGAATTCATCTTCTTTCCCCTCAAAGCAGCCGTACTTTTGAATCTGCAACTCCGTTGTTGATGTCCAGCACGCAACAGTTACCCCTTGACTGTATTCTCTTTTCTACCACTAAGTACAATCAATAGTCATATTTTAGTCATTTACCTTCTACAGATTTCTTTTATCTAGGCTTTCTGACCCATTAGAAAAGTGGTAGAATAACAAAATAGGACTAAGAACCTTAGCCTAAGGCCCTACCACAATAAAAAACCACCAACAAATGTTAGCTAATTACTTTAAGTAATCTGTAAACAATAACAATAACTACCACAATAGAAGCACACTGTAGTCACCACTATGAATTGATG